GAAAAGGAAAGATTTACCCAACTGAATGCAGATTTCCAGAGAGCAGCAAGAAGAGATGAGGCTTTCCTGAATGTACAATGCAAAGTAATAGAGGAAAACAACAGAATGGGAAGGACTAGAGATCTCTTCAAGAAAACTGGAGAAATCAAGAGAACATTCCATGCAAAGTTGGCCATGATAAAGGACAAAAATGGTAGGGACCTAACAGAAGCAGAAGAAATTAGGAAAAGATGGCAAGAATACACAGAAGAACTATACAAGAAGGGCCTCAATGTCCTTGACAACCACGACGGTGTGATCACTGACCTCGAGTCAGACATCCTGGAGTGTGAAGTCAAATGGGTTTTAGAAAGCATTACTAACAACAAAGCTAGCAGAGGTGATGGTATCCCAGCTGAGCTATTCAAAGTCTTAAAAGATGATGCTGTTAAAGTGCTGCACTCCATATGCCAGCAAATTTGGAAAATGCAACAGTGGTCACAGGACTGGAAAAGCTCAGTTTACATTCCAATCCCAAAGAAGGGCAATGCCAAGGAATGTTCAAACCATTGCACAATTGCACTCATTTCACACACTAGCAAGGTCATGCTCAAGATCCTACAAGCCAGGCTTCAGCAGTACATGGATAGAGAACTGCCAGAAGTACAAGCTGGGTTTCGAAGAGGTAGAGGAACTAGAGATCAAATTGCCAACATTCGCTGGATTATGGAGAAAGCAAGAGAGTACCAGAAAAACAACTACTTTTGCTTCATTGACTATGCTAAAGCCTTTGATTGTGTGGATCACAACATACTGTGGCAAGTCCTTAAAGAGATGGGAGTACCAGACCACCTCACATGTCTCCTGAGAAACCTGTATAAGGGTCAAGAAGCAACAGTTGGAACTGGATATGGAACAACTGATTGGTTTAGCATAGGAAAAGGACTACGACAAGGATGTCTATTGTCACCCTGCTTATTTAATTTATACGCAGAGTACATCATGTGAAATGCCAGCCTGGATGAATCACAACCCAGAATTAAGATTGCCAGGAAAAACATCAACAGCCTCAGCTATGAAGATGATACCACTCTAATGGCAGAAAGTGAAGAGAACCTAAAGAGCCTCTTGCTCAGGGTAAAAGAGGAGAGTGCAAAAGTTGGCTTGAAACTCAACATCAAAAACTAAGATCATGGCATCCGGCCCCATCACGCCTTGGCAAATAGAAGGGGAAGTTATGGAAGCAGTGACTGACTTCACATTCCTGGGATCCAAGATCACTGCAGATGGTGACTGCAGCCATGAAATTAAAAGACACCTGCTCCTTGGGAGGAAAGCTATGGCAAATCTTGACAGCATAATAAAACGTAGAGACATCACCCTGACAACAAAAGCCTGTATGGTGAAAATGATGGTATTCCCAATAGTAATGTATGGCTGCGAGAGTAGGACCATAAGGAAGGCCAAGTGCTGAAGAATAGATGCGTTTGAATTATGGTGCTGGAGAAGACTCTTGAGAGTCCCCTGGACTGCAAGGAGATTAAATCAGTCAATCCTAAAGGAAATCAACCCTGACTGTTCCCTGGAAGGCCAGATACTGAAGCTGAAGCTCAAGTACTTTGGCCACCAAATGAGAAGGGAGCACTCCCTGGAGAAGACCCTGATGGTGGGAAAGATTGAAGGTCAAAGAAGAAGGGGACGGCAAAGGATGAGATGGTTAGATAGTGTTATTGATGCAACGAACATGAAATTAAGCAAAATTAAGCAAAGGATGGCGGAAGACAGGAGTGCCTGGCGTGATGTCATCCATGGGGTCATGAAGAGTCGGACTCGACTGTGCAACTGAACAATAACAACAAATTAGTGACGCCACTTATTTCCAACTAATCAGTGCTGTGCACAGCTAGCTTCTGCTGTCAACAACACAAGATTGGCTTTCCCTGAATTTACACTTAGGAAATCACAGAGTACATCTATACAAAACATAATAAATGTGTGAATGTGCTTCCTTCATGGATTCACTACCCAAGTTTATGAACATCCAGGCACACTTTTGAGTGCTACAGTGACTAACAGGGCAATCTGAAACAGAGGCCCAATCCGCATCTAGCATTCGCTCCGCTGTTTGACCAAACCCACACTGGAACAGAAAAAGATGCAGCTCAAAACCACATTCATATACCCCAGACTAACGCCATGCTGATTGCAGAGTCACCCTTGAATGTCCGTAAAACAGCCATAAATCTATGCAGACGGCTACCATAAAACTGAGAGATCAAACGAAGTGAAAGCGGCATGCAGTCTGGACACTGCCATAAAATCCAACAATCAATCGAAGTGAAAGCGGCATGCAATGCAGAGGGGAATTTCTGTTCCAGCCTGGGTTTGGTAGATGCAGATTAGGCCAGAGTTACATCCCTCTAAGCCCACTGACTTTAATGGATTTTGAAGGGTGTCACTCTGTTTACATTTGCACTTTCAAGGGGTTTCTACTGCAATTCTCTTTCTTACAGAACCTAGCCATTTCTGCCTCTACCTAATACCTGACGCCTAAGAGCTGTGCTGGAAGGAGATCAGAAACTGAGCCTGGCACTGCTCGCTGGATTAGATCCAGGACATTCTGGGGAACTCTGCAATCAGGGCTATTATTGGGCAGGAACGCACAGGAACAGAGTTCCGGCTGGCTCCCGAGTTGGCAATACCCAGCAGGAACTCATTCGCATAATAGGCCACACCCAACAGCAGAAACTCATTAGGGTTGGCTACATTAGGGGTGTGTGGCCTAACATGCAAAGGAGTTCCTGCTACAAAAAAAGGCCCTGGGTTTTGACAACAAACAAGGTCAACAGAATAAGAAGGGAAAGGTGGATGTGTCTGGATGACCACACTTCTGGTAACATGGGGGTGCGGCCTAATGTGCTAATGAGCTGTGCTGTCAGGGGTGTGGCCCAATATGCTAATGAGTTCCTGCTGGGCTTTTTCTACAAAAAGAGCCCTGTCTGCAATTAAAAACTTTTGTGTAATTACCAGTCCCCGGGTGGCTGAGGCTAAGGCTACATTCCAGATGCAATCATCATAATGCGCCTTTATCTAGCTGTATGTCTTTACTGAGTGCATTGTTCCCAAAGATTGATAATTGGAAAGTGTTCTCTCTCTCTCTCTCTCTCTCTCTCTCTCTCTCTCTCTCTGTGTGTGTGTGTGTGTGTAATTCATGCCTGGGCAATCCAGTTTATGATGTGACCTGTAGAAAACTAGGAAGCATACCAACGTGAATTCAGTCAGGAAAGGCCCTGTTCTAGGAACAGTATATTAGTGCCCATTAAAAAGGACATTAGAAGATCTTTAAAGTGCTCAAGACTAAGGGTGTGGGGTTTCTTTCGTATATTCTGTACAGGTATTCACTGCATGTCATGGATCCCACCTCCATTTTGACTCCTCTAGAATCTATTTTAAAAATGGCCAGTTTGTAGCCTTCAGAGGTTTAGACAAATGTTTAAAAATCAACAATCTATACGCATTTGAAAGTTCAGATATCTAAGACGTGGTCACAGAGCCATGCTTTGGTGCCCCACCTATGTCTCTCCCACCTATGTCTCACCAAATTCTACCAGTTCCACCCATTTCAGTGATGGGTCCCTGTCCTTCCCTGCGCCCCACCTGAATCCATATGAAAATGCTCTGCATTCTGTGAAAGCTAAAAACACTGAGAGCAGCATAACTGTACAAAACGGACACAGTTAGGCAAATGTGCACAATTTGTTCTAAGTGACTTCCAGTTTCCATGGCAAGAGAACAAGTCCTGCCTAAGACTGCAAGTGTTCTGGCCTTCAGAGAAGACTTGCAAGCACCCAGGGCTATGTAATGTTGTACTCTGTGGGTGTGGTGGACATTTCCTTCCTGACTCAGTGTAATGAAGTAAACATTATGCTGCTCTCTCCGTCAGTGAGCATGAAATCAAGTCAAAGCATGGTCTTGTTGAAAACAGTCTTTCAGGCAGTTCTTAAACTCCAGTACCATGTTCTCCATTGCATGACATGCCTTAATGCCAAATACCTATTATTACAAATCAGATACAATAGCTTCACCTAGTTTAAACATGCAGGTCTGGCAAAAGGAGTCACAGCAAAGTTCAGTGGAGATATAGCCAGAGAGACTCTATATGAGCACCTTAATCTAGAAAAGTGTGCCACATTGCTTCAGACCAGCAGAAGCTCCCCTTCTTGGAGACCAACTGTATAGACGGGAGCTACAAATCTCACAGACATTAGGCATTTCTGTTACTCCTGGACAGAACCAGGAGAACCTTTGTTCCTGATTATGGGAGAGACGCAGGTTTACACTACGGTCAGGAAACGGGAGGCAAAACTAACCCAAGGCACTGGAAAGAACAAGGACTGCAATTCATATTACAGTGGCGGCATTATGGAATACTTTCTATTTGGCATCTGAAACTCTTCCAAAAGGTCAGCTACCACTAGCATGTACCATAAAACAAGTGTATGCATTTGAAAATGTGCTCATGCATATCCTTGCAAGTGTGGTTGGGAGAGAACTTCTGGAACTCCTTTATTCCTTGACCACCATGACTTTAGCTTTCCTAGCAGCACCTTCTGCTACATCAATCAACTTCCTTGTCATTTTCGAAAGCTTTATCAAGTCCTCTTCTTGTCTGAGATCTGATCTTATCTATAAGTTTTATGGACAAGTGCCATGGACTTGCGGATGACAAGCAGTGCCTTGATCACTTTTGGGGGCTTTACAGTCAACAGCAACCATGGCTACACTGGGGATGGGAGCACATGTGAAGACAAGCTGCTGTGGGTACAAAGGAAGCATTCACATTCTCTATCATGATGACTGTCATACCCTATCCTGCCACTGGAATTTTCCAGTTTATTCACTAGGCCAGGTAAACAAAATCAGGTAGCACCTTTCTCCAAAGGAACAGGACAAAGAAAACATCAGAGTTCTAGTGACAGAGATTTGAGACTCACAAAGAAATAGAAAGTAAAGATCCGTACCTGCTACCCTGTGGGCCACCAGCCCTTCAAGGTGCAAAGGCTCTTCCTCTGAGGGTCGAGAGGGCTCTTCATTATCTTCCGCATCCTTTACTGGTATCTGGGCTTCCACCATTGTTGGGGATACAGGGGATGTAAGCAGGGGATGCTGCCCTTCCACGGGCTTGTGGGCCATCACATGAGGCCTGGGAGATACAGGAGGGCTTCCGGCAGCTTGACCATAACTCCCTGCTCGTGTTACACTTGGCGGTTGGCTCTGATAGCCATAGGGCAAGTAGGCCTCCCTGTAATCCTGTGCCGGGTACTCCGGCTCTCTGGAATTTTGGAGCAACAGTCTTCTGGGATGAGTTTTAGGTACAGGTTCAGGCAGCTGGGACACACTGGTGCCAGTGGAGAGGTGTGTAAGGCTTCCTGGAATGGGTCCAAAAGCACTGGTAGACCTTGGCTGCACCACTTGAGGACCAGCCACAGGCTGAGCAGACATCGAGAGAGCCATTGGGCATGGCTTGTCATTTCTGGCGGCCACTGGAACACTCTGAGATTTTTGCATCATAGAGACAGTGGGATCTAGATCAAGCATAAGCATGTTGAGGGCCTCAATCGACTGCTCTATTTCCTTCTGGGACGCCACCCTGGGGAATTCAGGAATGCTGATGCTTTGGGGGGGTGCTATCTGCAAGGGGCTAGGCTGAGGGCTTGCACTAGAGAAGCTAGGGCTTAGGCTTTCTAGGGTGCCATCTTGCGGACGGGATGGGGGCCGGCTTCCGCTTTGCTGCTGCCATGAGTTCAGTCCCCTCTGGACAGCTTCTCGACTACTCATGCTCCGTGCAGGTGCTTGAGGAAGCTGAGGGGTCTCAGCAGTAGCAGTGGGGAAGGTTTGGGAGCGATAGATGCCATTTGGGTCATAGCTGTAGGGATACTGTTGGGTGGAGGCTAGTGGCTGGGGTTGCAGCCAGCCAGGAGTGGGGAAACCACGCTGATAATAGTCTGCTAAGTTTTCCTGGGCAGACACTGAAGGTTGAATGTGCCCATATGGATCTTGGGGGTGACGCCCCATCATGCTCCGCAAGTTGTTCTGGTTATTGTAGGGGTAGTCACCATTGATAACGGTCTCCGAATCACGCAGCTTGTCTATACCATTGAAATTGGATGAACCATTGGGTAAAGAGGAAAGGCTCTCCATCCGGGGGGCCTCATGATAGCCCATGTCACTAGTGTTGGTGGTGCCGTCAAAAGACGAGAGGGTGCCCAGACTGCCAACACTGTGCCCATCCTGGTTGGGCAACTCATCATCCAAAATGTCCGTTTCCCTCTCGGCTACCAAGCTTGCAGCTTCTCCATTAACATGCACTTGAGCAGGTACGACATGGCGTCCAGACGCAGTGGAGGTCATTACTGTTCCTCCGCTGGGATTGTGGTTGTGCATGGTGGCTTCGTTTTCCAAACCAAAGCCACTGAGCAAGCTCTCGAGCTCCTGCTTCTCCTCAGGAGTCAGTATAGGATTGTTTCCTCCACTGCTGCTGGGGACTGCAGGTACTGCCTGTTCATCAGTCTTGTCAGTCTTGGTGGAAGCAGTGGAGTTGCCAGAATCACTGCTAACGGAGAGAGTGTGCTCGATGTGATTCGGGGCTGCCGAGAGTGCGATGCGGTTGGCGTTGACAGCACCCGTGCTGCTGTGGAGTGAGTCTTTCTTCTTCACCTTCGCATAGAGGCTCCCGTCCAGCGGCCCTTGGGTGTGCCCAACCTCTGCATGGAAAAAAGAGAGAGTAGGCAGACAGGGAAATCAATACCTTGCCTACGATACTGTCAAAGCTAAAAGCTCCCATTAAGACACAAATGGTTCCTGGGACGTTTATTTGCATTTAGCTCTGATGGGAGAAAGAGAGAGTAGGAAGACAGGGAAATCAATACCTCGCCTACGATACTGTCAAAGCTAAAAGATCCCATTAAGACACAAATGGTTCCTGGGATGTTTATTTGCATTTAGCTCTGATGGGAGAGGACACTGTGACTCTGCCAAGCAGCTGCCAAGTGCTATCATTCCACGTGCCCTTCAGGCCACAGCAGACAAGAGACGCCAGCGTGTCTCTCTGAGGGTAGCACGGCCCCCACCCTATTCCACTGGGACCTGGTGAAAGCCGGAGAAGTGGCAACGGCTACTGAACCAAAACAAATTTACCCGCTGTTTTCTTTTTATTGTGATGAGAACCACTGAGTGTTTCGCAGGAAATGCATCTGAATTGATCCAGGATGAAATGAAACCCCCTCTGGGAATGGAAAACAGGCTGGAAGGAGTGGTAAGACGACATACTTGCGGGGTCACAAACGACTCAAAGGTTCATCTAATTCAGGCCTGCAAAATGTGTGACCTACTAAGTCAAAAACAGCCCAAGTCTCCTGTTTACGGTGAATGGATCTAAGTGTAAAAACGAAAAAAGGTGCGAGTGTCCAGCACCTGGCATTCCAAACAAGCATAGCCAGTGGGTTGTTGAAACCTTGGTAAGTCACAAGTTCAGCAACTTTGATGCAAGTCAACATTCTGCACTGAGGCTGAATCCTCCCACAGTATAGTAGCCTCTCATAATGGGGAAGGCCGGAGTCTGTTCTGTTGCTCACTATACTGAGAACGCCATGGTGGCTAGGCGCAGCATGCAGAGTGCTACAGCAACTAACCCAAGAGCCTAAGGAAAGTGGAAGAGTGCTATAGCTTCATTCCACTAAATGAAACATTGGGCTCACAGATCGGTCCCAATTAAAACTAGTGGTCTCCAGCTACACTTTCATTCTGCATCTGATTTTTTTTAATGGTGGCCACATCCTTCCCCCCCCCCTGCCCTGCCCACATCCATTCAGTGAAGGCAGGGCTGGCTTTGTTTATAGCTAGATCTCATTAGGTAATGAAGTAGGTTATCATGCTCTCTCCAAGGTTCTCAATTGGCTTGGACCACTTCAGGAAGAAAACAACAAGCGGGGGGGGGGGGGGGGGGGGGTGGTGCCAAGCAGGAGAAACAATGGCTATGGAGATCTGCAAAAACCAGGAAAATCTAGCTGTAGGTGGGAAATGCTGCCATCCCCTTAAAGTGTACTTTGTTTTGCCCCAGAAGGTGTTAATGGGTAAACATTTGAAATAGCCCTAAAAGGACCTATCCTACAGCTCACCATAACATTTTTTTCAGATGAGCAATGATCTCCATAGACCGGCCTAAGGTTTTCCTCCAATGAAATTCTGTCTCCTTCTCATTGCAATAGAGAAAAACAGGCAAATACATGGCCCCATCTGTGGCTGACTCTGCTTATAGTTTGCATGTCAATATATTAATGTTTTCAGAAGATCCTCAGTCTTCTCTCAAATCCTGCAGCAGATTACCCTCATCCTCTTTAAGTGATTTATTATAAAGTAAAATTTGAAGGTCAGAATCTAACAGCAATTCATCAAAGCATGGCAGTATTTTTTTTTAACTCCCATGTTTCCATGAATTGCCACTAGGAAACTGCGCAACTTCTTTGGCTCACATGTTACTTTTGCCATGCATCTGAGGATGCAGGACTGCTCTGGAGAAAGGAAGGAGGATTTTGATCTGGGCTCTAATTATTTTAAAAGTTGTCTATATTTGTTCAAAAAATAGGATGAAATCTGGGGTATCTGATTGCAGCAAACTCCCGTTCTCTTGGGCAGGGGACTCGCTTACCCAGACATTTTCTGCTTCTTTTTCCAGGTCCCCTATGAGATTTCCTGGAACAGAAAGCACAGCAATATGGAATGCTCTCATTTACAGGAAAAAATGACGTCTTTCTGGCAGGGGGCCAAGGATTGATTCAGGAATGTTAGATGGGAGAGTGTAGAGTCAGAAAGCTCCTAATCTACAGGCAGCAAGTACTTTTGGAAACACCTTGGAACCCAAACCAGCAGGGCGCTATGTTTTCCCCCCCATGTAACATCACCTAGGCATTTATAATGTACACACATACACAAACACATTGATGTAGCAGCCATGGAATGAACACACATTCACAGTAAGCCTTCATCTAACTATGAAATGTTTGTATCTAATGAATACGTTCCCCAATTCTTCTCATGGTGGCAGGGGCGGGTATGGAATATACAGTAGAAACAGTCATTCCTAACTAGTGCCTACTTATGGCCCCCAAAGCATATAGTATATGAGTATACATGCACACAGCAGCATACATTAGTTCAAGGTAACCACCACCATGTGCCGTACATATTCTCAGAACAACATCACATTGTATGTTTGATTGTGTACACAAAGATCAATCACAAAGGAAAACACCACAAGAGACAGTAGTGCCCATCCGAAACATGTGCAGCAAATGGGCAATCATATCCTTTTGTTTGCTGGCAATCATGGATAGCCTAGCACATAATTAGCACCCTTTTGAAATACATTTAGGGTAACTGCATCACAAGAAACAGACACATTATACACACCATTGTTTCCATAAATACATTTCTCTGAAATATCTACCTTCCAGAGCTTTACATTACCTAATACTCAAGGTCTTGCCATCCATTTCTGGCCTCTTTTACCAAGCAACTCTGTGCTTCTCTGTGTTGACCCTTCCCATAATGCCTGTTTGCTTTAAAAGATGGGACAAAGCTTCAACATTCTTCCCAAGGGCTGGGCTGCCACATACAGGCCTCAAATCAACTGGTAACTTTGTGGGGAAGCCACAAGATGTATTGAAGGAGAACGATTGCA